AAAAAATTGATAAAACAAAGTCTCGAACGATCGAACTCGTCCTCGACAAATTTGCTCATTTTAATACTATTTAACGCAGAAATTCAAACTCCCATAATAAATGCTCGGAACTTCAAAAAATATAAAATTTGTCCGTACAGAATCGTGTTTGAATTGTCTACACGCTCCAACTCGATTCTCGTTAAACCGAGGTCACACGCAACCTTACGGAACCCCGCAAAACGGCTTTTTTATTCTTCTATTATGCACACTCGACTTCGAGCTTCTCAAAATAAATGCTCGAAACTTCGAAACGTGAAATAAATTTTACAAACGGCTTCTACTGTTCTCGTGCTCTCAAGAAAGCACTCCCGCTAATTTTTAGCATGTCTAACGAGGGCCGACGGTTACCCGAAGTCTAGACATGAAAATGACAATAAAATTATCGCCACTGTCATTTTTCTCTCAACTTCGGGCTACCCAAAATAAATGGTCGAGACCTCAAAATCATAAATTGATGCCACCAATGCACTCTCTGTTTCCCGTACTTTCATAAAAGTAATTTTTGGTAATAATCGACTCGGTTTTTGAGTCCCGACGGTACACCGCAAGTCGACTAATTAACCAACTCAAAATATAATAAAAATAAAAATATTATTAAATTCTGCTGCTATTATAGTTCTCCTTGTCTCGAAACCAGGATCCCATTTCGGGGAGAATCCAATTTGTCTTTAAAAATAATTTTCACGACAAAATCGGTGGCGCCCCTCCGGCCATGTATGTACCACATGAAACCGGGGAGGGCCCAACATGCGCGCTAAAAAAAAATCTTTCAGTTCCAGCAAAATCTTCTACCCTTAATTTAATTTTTTTTTTTTGAGGGGCCCAAGCCTCTCCAATTATGTACATAGTTTCGCCACTGGGTATTATCCCCATAAAAGATGATGAGGTACAACTGAAATACTCTCTATACACTCTTTCGAAATTTTCTACATACATACATACATAATAATCAGCTATTCTCGGACGATCGTAGCTGTTTAGTAGCAGGTTCAACCCAGATCCAAGTTACGAACATTTTAGCTCCGATCCATGTTAGCGATCGTCTTGGTTGTTTTCATCTAGTTAAGTATTACATAACTTATGAAAGAGGATATTGAATAGTTCTGGCTCGTTGGATAATTTATTTTAAACGTAAATATGAATGCATATAAGTTCTTAACTTATTATTAAATTCCAATCTAATCAAACTTAGTTCTTCTCAATATCATCTATATAAATCAATAATAAAGAAACAATCATTACCATACAATATTCAACAATATTCACATTCATCCTCTCACATTTCAAACCTTTAATTATTATTTTATATTACTTTTTATCACATCAAATTTAGTCATTATATATCTGTAAGAAACTGGGGTGCGGTCCCACTAACATGAAGTGCACCAAAACGAGGAAAGCCCATATGAAGTCCAAGTGGGGTTCCATCCCAAAGCGAGGAAAGCCCATATGAAGTCCAAGTGGGGTTCTATCCCAAAACCAATTGGTGGAAGGAGAAGTAGCCCATTAGACTTATAAGGTTTCATATCCAAGTGGGGTTCCATCCCAAAACCAATTGGTGGAAGGAGAAGTAGCCCATTAGACTTATAAGGTGGGTCTATTTTCCATGTATGAAATAGAACCGACTCTGATACCATTAGACTTATAAGGTGGGTCTATTTTCCATGTATGAAATAGAACCGACTCTGATACCATGTAAGAAACTGGAGTGCGGTCCCACTAACATGAAGCGCACCAAAGCGGGGAAAGCCCATATGAAGTCCAAGTGGGGTTCCATTCCAAAACCAATTGGTGGAAGAAGTAGTAGCCCATTAGACTTATAAGGTGGGTCTATTTTCCATGTATGAACGATGTGGGACAACTCACAAGTGATATTCTAACAATTCACAAAACTCAAAATTATTTAAATTCAAATATCCTATCATTCATTTATTTTTTCACGATTAACGTATTTTATCAAATAAATCGAATCCAATAAATAGTAATAATAATAATAATAATAATAATAACAATAAAAATAATAATTTCGAGTCGCCTGAAAAGGTTGGTTCAAACATGAGCTCGTTCACTTGTATCCACAATTACGTGTAAGATCACATTTTTGTTACATACTTTTTTTTTGGGATACATCAATCCCGTGATTTCTTTGTAGAAGCAAACTTACATATATAATTAGCTACGTAAAATGTGAAAATGGATATTGTTGGTCTTCATGCTATAAAATTAATGAACCCATTATAAAGGAAGTTTGAAGCCTTATATAAGCTAGTAGTAAATGTCATTTTATTTTAGTTATAGAAAAAGACGAACAGCTATTAGTAAATTTTTAACGTATTAATATTCTTTTTTTTTTTGAATAATAATATATAGTTGAAACAATATAGTGGCCCAAATAATATAAGTATGTATTTTACTATTTTTATTTACATAAAATGACGGCTCGGCAAACTTAACTATTAAAATGATATAGATCGACCTCCCAAATGATATAAGTATGTATGAAAAGTACATTTGTGTAACCTTTTTTTCAAACATACGGGACGACAATAAAAAATACAATTCGAGAAAGACGAAAAGTTAAAGTAGTAAAACATATAAGACTAAAATTATAATTTACTCTAAAAAAATTAGTGATTGTTTTATCTTTTATAACCGATAGAATAAAATATAACACAAGCCGAAAAAATTGGATAAAAATAAAAATAAGCATATAAAATAAAATTCTAAATAATATAGAAAAGAGAGATGAACATTCTTGTAATTCACACCATAAATAATCCTGGTACTTTTGTCGTGCTTCCTTGAAAGTGACTGGAGATGCTGGGAGCGTGGATCTCATGTGGCATCACCACCAAAACGGTTCGTGTTCTTTTCCATCGGTTACATTTGTGAATACAATACAAAACAAACTGCTAAAGTCTCGTTGTGGAATCATTTTGTCGGAATTTGTAACCGTTATATCATTATGTAACTGTCGTGGATAGTTGATCTAACGGTTACAATTCCCAACAGAATAATTCCGTAACAGGACCGTAGAATCTCCCAAAACAAATATAATTAAAATTTGTTTCAACACATCAATACATGAACCGATTCACTAAAGAAGTCATTGGCTACCTCCATAAATATTTTGAGTGCAAATTATTGATCTGAATAATTCGTGTTTGTTTTGAACAAAATCGTTTAATAAACACAATATTCAATTTATTTGACTAAATTAGAGTTTTATTTGATCGATATCAAAATTGTTAAGTATAAATACATTTATTTTGCTATTTTATTTAATTTCTAAAATTTCATTACATGATTTGCAAATGTTCGTTTGTAATGAGAGTTCTTAAAGAACAAAAGCATCCCGTGGACTCAAATTCAGATAAATGTGCTAAACTTGATTACATTAAAATCTCAATTGCTCATTTATTTTTAAGAAATGAGATAAACTTGTACGTGGACTTGATTAGCTAACGAGTCAAGTTTGCGTGCGTGTCAAGAATTTAAAGCTCAGCTCGACTTAATTACAGTTTACTAGTGAGTATAACCGTATGAGTATATTAAATTAAAATTAAACCAACATAACAAAGTGAATTATTTTCAGTTATAATGAAATTACCATAATAATAAAATCATTAGTTTTAATCAGTGTTTTAAATAGCGCAATTTCGCGCGCTACGTAGGGTGGTATAGCGCATTTTTACCCGAAAACGCGACATAGCGTAGATAATTTCGCGCAGTTTCAGAAAAGCGCACGCAATTACGTTATATTTTGCGCTATTTCTCACGCTATTTGGGAAATCCTTATTTACAGGCAAAAAAATAAAAAATAAAATAATAAAATACAAAAAAAAAGTGTAGGGCACAAAATTGAGCAATTTATCCCATGACGAATTTGAGTGATTATTAGACCATGTTTCGTATTTTTCTTGAAAAAAAAAACTATTTGAAAAATTGATACAACATAGCTATGATTGACCTTTTCGACTATTAGAATAATGTGATGTTTATGTTTCTTAAGCTCAAAAGTGAAATGGGAAGAACATTTTCTCCAAATGATGAGGAGATGCAAGAATTTGGTGAAAGTGTATTAATTATTTTTTGTAGTGAAATTCCCCATAACTTTGATAGAAATGACAATGATAACCAAATTCAATTGGATAACACCGATCATTTTAAGATTTTGAGTTTTTACTTTAAACATTTAGACTTTGGTTGTTTGAATAATTAATATTTGAATGTCATTTTTTAGATTCAATGTCCAAGTTAATTTATGGTTTAAGATCATTTTAATTATTTATTCGCTTGTATGGTTACATATTATTATTTTTGGCATTAAAGTGAATTTCTCGAATAGCTTACGCAATACGCTACGCTATTTACGCTACGCAATATAAAGACCAAAACGCAACACTTTGCTGGATGCGCATTTTAAAGCACTGGTTTTAATGAATAAACCTTTTTCTCCTTTTCCTTTTTCATTTGGCGGGAACTGAACTCATGTCAGGTTAGCTATTCACAGTCCTTTCACTCTGCAGTGCGCATCAGTGCAGTTATATACAATTCGTACGTGACTGTGCGTTGTTTGGTGCATCATCAAGCTTCAAAACTTTCTTCCTTTTTTCACCACAACAGCGACATTTGCGCTAGTCCTACGTGTCAGCCTACACGCTGCACGTCTCGTTTTCACCCATATCAACTCTTTATCCCACTCTCCCTACTACGCTACTGAGTACACGCGCCGACACGGGCCGGCTTGTTAACCGTGAAATCTCTGGCGCCGGCACGAAAATCTCAGTCGAGAGAGCAAAATTTAACATAACTAATTTCAGTGATTAAAGAGATAAGGCCTAGTTTGTACGAATCTAATTTCTCGTAACAAATTTCTCTTTATCTTTGCAATCCTTTTGATCAATTTTGGAGATTACTGTGAAAATACGAACAAACCCAAACAGACCCTTACTCTCTCAACAGGCGAGGTTAACGTGAACGCTGGCAGTTTTGGTAGCGTTGCAGATGGGACACGTGTGAAGCGTGGACTCGCAGACGGTACAGAGGCACATGTGTCTGCACGGCAAGAGCAACACACACGATTCCTCCCTGCCGCAGCTCCGGCACATCCGGCCGCCGCCCTCGCCGTGATTGCTGCCGCAGGAGGAGCTGACTTCGTCGGCCTGCCGGCGGTCTCCGTCTCGCGCCTGAGCGATGGCTTGCTCCAGATTGGATCTCAGGGAGTTCGCCGCCGCCTCGTTCGCATGAGCCAGGTCCCGCCATATCCGGTTCTCGGCGCATAGAGATTTGACCCGTTCCTCCAGCGCGTGGTTCAGTTTTCCGATCTTCTCGATTTCTTCCTCCTTGACTTTAAGCCGCTTGGAGAGGCTCTCCACCGCCGCCGCCGCGATCCTCCTCGCGTGCCTCCGTCGCCTCTCCTCCATTTCCATTCTCACATTTTCTGACTGTCGGCGATAAATTCATCCAACGCGTAATCAATAAACTGCGTATAACCAAAAATTGAAAATAAAGAGGGAACAAAAACAGAATCGATCGATTATTTCACGTACGTTTTGAGCTATGAACCGATCGATCTCCAGTTGCTGCTGTTGGATCTGAAGCGAGATATCCTCACCGAGGAAAGTGAAACCACCGAACGACGAGAACAGAGTATTAACCGCCTCCCGCGACCGCTTTCTCGAGGCCGGAACACAGGTCAGACCGATGTCGGACTTCATCTCCGCCGGCGCTTTCATCGGAAGTGCGGCGGCGATTGACGAGCCGTACATCGAAACCGCACTCTCCATCCCAGCCGCCGCCGTTCTCGATGCTGAAGCAACCACTCCGTACACCGACGTCGCACCAAACACGTTTTCGTTACCTTCGACGCCGTTCATCACCAATTCTCTAGCCAACGCGTCCAGAAAAAAGGCAAAA